CATCCTGTATTTTTGAGAGGTCCACGAGTTATTGTTGTGGCATTATGTTTTCTGAGACGTACATATTTAGTATCATTTGGTTACCAAGCCCAAAAATGGCCATATGGTTTTTATACAGGGTGATCATGTATTAAAACTAAAAATATGATATTCGCATACAAATTTTTATTTATCTACTCAAGGTGTGAGTTTATATGCGTTGTCCTTGTGAAATAGAAATTACAGTATCATTGAAAAATAGTAATGTTTTTGGTATTATACGGAGTGGTCCAAGTTATCAGTATATAACATAACAAAGTCAAATGTAGTTGCCTCCGACAAGGTGGAGTCAACATTGGAAAATAGAATACTGATCTGCTACACAAAAATGCTTCGATCTCACACGAGGACTTCGATAATTTTTTAATTTGAAATGAAGAATTAATTCATTAGGTTTCATAATTGTTCGTATGAACAATTTGGTATCACTTTAGGTACGGAAAAATCAAATTATTTTATTCTGGACAATTTTCCAAATTTTACCAAATGGAATAAAAAGAATAACATATCAATCTAATCTTGTTTTTTTCGTCAATTGTAGAACTGAATCTCCATCATACTCAAATTGTTGCTCCTCTTCAAGCTCCTCTTCGTCATCACTGAATTCTTCACGTAATTGATCTTTTGTATCATTTCACAAAAAGTGTTTTCAGATTTATTTTTACCTGATATACCTGCAGAATTTTAAATTTCCCACTACTAATAGTTTCACATCAATTGAGAGATGGCGCTGAAAAGCTTCCCAAACTTTGCATTGCAGAGTAGTTTCTATCCCACGTGTTTTGTGGTAAGCATCTCCAACAGTACAAATATCCATGTACCTACCTGAAATGGGTGCGAGCGTGGGGCTTGCTTCGAATGGGACTAACACACTTCAAAATTTAAACAAATTATCAACATTTACCAAAAAATTCAATGTTATTGAAGTTTTTTCATTTTTTGAACTTCTCGGATTAGCATGTTATTTTTTTGTCGTTGCGCATAACTTCTCAGTGTACTAATCCTTATGACATATAATTCCATATTATTTCCTTTTAGTTTTACCCTTGGTTTTACCTGTCTGATTTTGTTATGTTATATACTGATAATTTGGACTAACCTGTATAATATCAATAATATTACTATTTTTCAATGATATTGTAAATTTTATTTCGCAATTTCATCAAAAAGTATATATAAAAACGAAGAAAATGACACCAAATAGAATTGCCTGTAATAAATCTCTGAAGGACAATTTTCATTATTGAAAGAAAAAGATTTTTCCCGATTAATACACTCCATTAATATTCCACCAATCAGCTCTGTGATTGTTTCAAATTTTAACCAACGGTTTTTTAAGTAGTTAAAAGCTAGAGAGATTTTTATCAGCCGTAAAAATGCTTGTAGGAATGCGTAAAATATAGTGGTTGTGAGATTACTGTCTTGTATTAATCTGCCTAAAATACACTCGATCTTGGTTTTAAATCAGGATAATTTTATTTTTAATTCACTCAAATTTTGTTGCCTACTGGAAAAAAATTCTTGATCAAAAGCCTTCGGTGTCGCATTTTTATTAGTTGACAGATTTTCTCGTCTAATTGCTAGGCAACAGATTTTCATTACCTACAACCCAAAATGTACTCGATAAAGTACAAATAGTCCAGTAACTTTGTTCCTAAAAATGGGGGGTACCAAGCGTCAAATCCGGTAGTTCTGATTTTTTGTGGGATTGCTTATGTTGTTAACCCAATGTATAATTCAGTTTTATTTAACCTGAAGGACCAGTTTGTCGAAAAATAATCGTCAAAATCTGAAAAGAAAACGAAAATTCCTGGGTTTTTAGTATACTTGACTATGTTGCGTTCGCCGCTCGAGGTCGAAAACTTGAATTATACATTGGGTTAACAACATAAGCAATCCCACAAAAAATCAGAACTACCGGATTTGACGCATGGTCTGATGTATATAGTTACTGGACTACACATTCTATAAGAAAATTTTTTTTCCGGGTCGATCTGAGACAATTTTTTTTTCGGGGCTCAAAAAAAGGCAGTGTATAACCTTCCTTTTTTACCAAAAATCGAATGCACCAAAATTTCTCGGGAAAACACTTTTTCTTATTAATTTTGGTGCGTAGAATCCAAAACAATTCGTACTTTTCGATCAGACTTCTCAATCAAAAGTTATAGACTAGAAACCAATTTCGAAAGAAAATTCAAAAGGCTGTAACTTTTGAACTAGTAGCCCAATCTTGGAACTTTTGAACTAGTAGCCCAATCTTGAAATGTTTGAAATTATGGATTCTACAGGCCACATTCTATAAGAAAATTTTTTTTCCGGGTCGATCTGAGACAATTTTTTTTTCGGGGGCCTCAAAAAAAGGCAGTGTATAACCTTCCTTTTTTACCAAAAATCGACTGCACCAAAATTTCTCGGGAAAACACTTTTTCTTATTAATTTTGGTGCGTAGAATCCAAAACAATTCGTACTTTTTCGATGGGACTTCTCAATCAAAAGTTATAGACTAGAAACCAATTTCGAAAGAAAATTCAAAGGGCTGTAACTTTTGAACTAGTAGCCCAATCTTGGAACTGTTTGAAATTATGGATTCTACAGGCCACATTCTATAAGAAAATTTTTTTTCCGGGTCGATCTGTTTCCGGGTCGATCTGAGAATTTTTTTTGGGGGCTCAAAAAAAGGCAGTGTATAACCTTCCTTTTTTACCAAAAATCGACCCTCTTGTGCAATTATAAGTGAAAAAATTTGTTTGAATCATAAAATAGTATATTTCAACCAAGTCTCGTTAAAAGAAAATCATTTTTGTGGAAATGAACAATAAAAAACGATAATCACGGTTTTCCAGGATGTTTTCGGATATTTTGAGATGTGAGAAAGTGACTAGAAAGAAAGTTGTCAGGATCTACTTTTCCATTGGACACTTTTGTCTCTGATCTTAACTTTTGTCGTCAATGGCTGTCCTGTCATACGATTTTCATTCCTGTTCACCCTTCCCAAAAACTTAGACCCATTCCTTTGCTCACGTATTTATTTATTTGTATGGAAAATTTTAACATATCGACTTGGCAAAGTTCCATCAACAATTTTCTTTTGTAAAAAGTATAATTTTCCTGGACTAACAGGACTATTAAATTTGTAGGGTTTCAGCTAGAACCTGCAGCCAATACCAATGTTTGTGAAACTCAAATCTAGATAACTTTTTCGATTTTTATAACGTACACGGTCCGAATTACCGAACTCTTCATCGTTGTTATTTATCTACAATTATTAATTTATTTGTATTTTCAGCGCAGAAATACATTTTCTTGTTTCTTGTTCAATGAATCTAATGAATCTACTTATTTACACCAACTGCATGCCTGTACCTACCTCTAGGCAATGCGATGACTTTCTCGGTTTCGAATCATCATCGATGTATTCGGTGCAACGCCAAATTGGAGGCGTATGACAGGGTTGTTTGGTTTAATTATAAATCCGTGAGTCGGCACTTATAGCTACTGTGTATGATGCTTTTCGCACAGAATGATGATTCAACACTCTTTTCGAGAGGCTGATCATCAAGCTACTTTCCCGAAGCCCAAGAATATATCTGGGTATCTGCCAGCGGATTTATCACATACCTACCCCTGCAAATCATCTCAGATACTTGGCTACACGTTCTGTCGATGTTGTTGGCTTAACCCCCTCTGTGTACAATTGTGTTGAATATTCCTATTTGTAGTAAATTTGTGGACAATAACAAATTCTCGCGCCTCTCTCGTAGGACGCCCGAAGGGGTTATCGGTGGTCCAAATTAAGTCAAACTTGTTGAATGTTTCTTACTAGTTATACTCTGGAAGTAACTGATGTTGAAAAGTCTGCGAATGGCTTCATATGTGTAAACTAGCTTCTTTTACAATAAGGAGTTCTCCTTAGGGAAGACCATCATCGCGTGGAAGTAGACTTTAGTTTTGTAAAGTTCACTTTTTATACGTTACCTAATCGATGAATTTCAATTTTCATTCAGTGGACGCTAGTTGAAAGGGGGGAGTGCGTCGCGTCCCAACCCCCACAAGACAACTTTGGCGCGGTTAACCCTTCGAATTAAAACGTTTGTTTTCGGCTCGTATACAATTATTAACAACAATAACTCAATTTATAATCGCGCACGTAATGCATACATAGTTAAGAGTTTTTCTCCCTCCTTTTTTCTTTAAAGGAAGGATTTATTATGCGACTTCCTGAAGGTTGTTTATGAACGGCCCTACCTGTTCCTTCCTGAAGTTGGGTAATAAGAGCTCGCGTGCAACGTGCGAGTTAGAGACATTCACAGTTCCCGTTGAAATGAAATTTGAAATCTAAATCTCATTCTCTCAGCCCGCTGCAAAATCCATTTCGTTTTAACTTGACGTTCAAATTGAATGTTTTGTAGTGCGACGGGGGAGGAGGAGGGGGATTGTAAGGGTGTGCAGATCGCGAGGTCCGAGGGGGAAAAGTGCTCTTGATAAGCGTGATTTAGCAGCCCCGGGGATATTGATTTTACGTCCCTCAACCCCTAACCCGCTCTCAGTTTTATATGTCTGTTTTCTTACTGTAATAGCTCGGTATGTTGCGCGCGCCATGTCGAAATGAGGAGAAAACACCGAGGGGGGTGCGACGGGAAAGATGGTTTTCATTGGTGTTGTGTTTCCGCGGCGGGTGGGGATCCTGTAGGCAAATGCAGCCATTATTCTGGATCTCACGGTGCCAATTGCTAACTAAAGGCGCCGTTAAGGCTTCCTGATGCACCGACTACTAAAAGTCCCGTTTCATGTTTAGACATTGTTAATGACGCATCCCATGGCGAAGATTGCCAACAGCAGTCACGCACCTTGTAAATTTTAGGCACGCGCCTCTTTCATTCAAGCACTTGTTATTAAATTGACACTTTGTTTTATGATAGAGATTACAAGAATTACTTTTAATACCGAATCTTCTTTTACAGCTCGCTTATTGCCCACAACCTCGACGTCCAACGGCTTTTAACTTCTTTTACTACTGGTAAGTAATTTCGAAAATTTTATTGCATCATTCAACGCTCGTGCAGTCAGTCAACAATATAAAAACTTTATTATCACCGACCATCTGTTCAGTCAGAGGCGCTAGCCAGTCGAAGGGGTAGGGGGTGGAAAAGAGTAATCGCGATCTGCATAACGACATAAAAATCCTGTCATCCCTAAATGGAAATTCCCGACAGGTTATAGACTTAGGATATTAGTCGGTGTTAATTGTCGCCGCAATGAATGGAGATGTCCCGTGGCGTGTCGGCGCTCGGTAAGCGTAAGCGTGAGCGTGACGTCCCGGCTGGCATGGCACGGAAACGCCGTGGGATCAGAGCCGGAAATGGGCAGACATCGGTTAGATTGGGTACGCCACGCGCCCGCCGCTACGTGTTGATACACTTGTTCTTCGACGGGACCTACACTTCTGCCTCCCCCATCCTTACAACATCCAGTCTGCCTGTCTTACTGACTGATCCCTCACGCCTTGTTTACTAGCTTCACTTTTATCGGAAAAAGCTTTATTCGCTTCTCGTTGAATTTCTCTAAAGGACTCTTGTGTGTAAGATGGTAATCGGAACAGATTTTCTTTCACTGTCCATTTGATCTTTTTCCCCCCATTTTGGCCTACTCAAATTTCAATAAAACGCATTATTTTTGTAAGTGACTCGAAACTTTTTCTTTTTTACCTTTGTCCCTCGAATTTTTCTCTTAATAATTTGTTACACTCCGCCGATTCCTAAGCTCCCTCCCGGCGTGAGCTTTTATTGTATTTTCGATTCAATCGAATGAAAATTTGCGAATGCCAATCAATTATACGAGACCTATTTTACTATTTATTCCATTATGAAGGTAATACAAAGTATGTAAAATGAAAGACGGCGTTAATCCAGACGGAATGAGACGTCGTTATTTCTGCGGGATTGAATTTTAATTTCAGCTTTGGTTAACGTTATGTAGCGGTGGGTCAGCGCTCTGTAGTGAAATATGAACTGAAACGTTTTAGGGTGGCGTTATGAACGTCTTCAGTTGACAATCCCTTGTTTTACTTTATGCTAATTATTCAATTAAGGGGATTCAAAAAATAATTGAATGAAGTACGTGACGGATTCAGCAAAAAATTCAGCCAATCGCTATCTCAGTGTAAGTTTAACTATTGGTATGCAATCTATCCACAGTCGTATTGTTGACAGCGTGTACCTACTTGACTTTAATCTTTTTGGATTAGTTCCTTCTGCCTTTTTGTTTTAAAACTCATATTTCTCCATACCTAAGGTTGAAAACTCACCGTGCTCCTGCTATTCAACACAGAAGCTCATCGGTCCATCTTTTTTTCCTCAAAGTCACATAGGGTTATGAACCATTGGATAATTTAATAACGAAGCGATATAATCTCGGCTTCTTCTACCGTGGGTCTTTATGACTGTTGCTTACCCAATAAAGTGGTCATTTTTTGTATTAGTGTTGTCGATATTCAATTTGTCCATGCCATAAAAACACATCTTGATTATTGGTAAAACAATGAGTGTAACAGATAACGTCCTGCCTTTGCATAATCCAGAATGTAAATGTGTTAAAGTACTTTTCAGACTAGCAAGAATATATTAGAGCACATTTTCCAGAAAAACCAGAATTAGATTCCTCGCAGCAGTGACAGCTACACATTTTCTTGCGTAAGAGGGCAATAACTTCTTACTACCGAAAGTAGATGGTTTCACTATAATTTATTTCAATAACCACACATTCAAAATACACGTGATTTCGTAACAAAAAAATATATCTTACGACTAATACATTCGAACCTATTTACATGAAAATTCCTACTGACTAAAATCAATCACAGCTTAAATGGAAATTAAAAATCAATCCTTGGTAATGGGTTGCTAAAGCCTCGCTTGAGTTTCAAGTCGGTTTTAAACTGTTGCACCAGTCACAAACATTTCCCAATCTCGCCTTGTGTAAGGCGCCGAAATTCACGACTTAAGAGCCCCTTAGACTTGCATTTTTTCTTCAGTTGGCACGATCGGGCAAAGAAATCGGAAGTGTATGGGTAAAATCAGACGTACTTGCACGTTGTGTAAAATATCAAGGGATTTGGATTTTCGTCCGACTTCTTGCCTTCCGATCGAACAAACACGAGGGGTGTGTCGTGCATTTTCAGTGTTGTTGAATGGTCGATCTATGCCCATCTCGTCACATTTTTAATGCACAACCATTTGCCATGTAGGAATACCAAGGGACACACTCTTTTGGCTAAGAGGTCTATCCTGGCATTTTTTTATTTGACAATACAGATTGCGACCTTGAATTTATGTAGGAGGGCGAGACGGGGGTTCAATACAGAGGAGTTTCCACACTCACACCTAAATGTTTAACCAAATCATTGATTGTAGTTTTAACAGAAGACAATTTTAAAATAAAAGTTGATTGGTACGTTCTTAAAGGATTTAACCTGAGGAACAACGAAGAGGAACTTACTAAAATTGGGTTAGATATAAAGGAAGTCACTTTTGTTTTAAAGAGTTTGTTCAGCAGTTAGGTAAAGAACATCTCCAAAGTCAAGGGTTCATTGTAATTAGATATTTTATTAAGGTAAAATCAGGGACGGACCTAGACAAAAAAATTGGGGGGGCAAACATGACATTTTGCCAACTCAACTGTAAAAATTTCCAACTCAAACGGGTAGTATCTATTAAGTATTAAGTAGTATTTCCAAGTCTAATAAATCATGTAGAAAATGTAGGATATCAGTATTCGGTCTCTAATACTAATTAAAAGCATTACCAAAATACCAACCTTGTGTTGAAGAAAAAGGAAGTGACGTTCCTATTAAAGAGTCATTTTCTATAGGTTTTGCCGTAATTCCGCATTCCTTCAATAGTCGATTTATTACATTTACGATACTTTCGCGGCTTCGCCAACTGGTAATGAAAATTACCAACTCTTGTCAAAATTGCCAACTAAGTTAAGTATTGGAGGGACAACCTGCCCCCCCCCCCCATAGGTCCGTCACTGGGCAAAATGTGAATGAAAATTTGCTTATTTGAATTTAAGTTAGGGGTATTTCACAGAATTTCACGTATATTGCTTTAAATTTGTAGAAAATCCTGTAAAAGGGAAGTGTATATTGCGAGGGGTAATTCGCAGGGGAAATCTCTGTACACTAGTGAGGAAATCACGAGGAAGTCATGATGAAATCACTAGAAATCTGAGGAAATCAAGGGACATCACGGGAAATCACGGGAAATCATTGGAAATCAAGGAAATCTAGAAGGAAATCAAAGGGTATTCAAGGGAAATCATTTACAAATGCTGAATGCTCATGCGCAGTTGCGTTACTCAAAATGCTGTGTGAACGTTTTTAGCGCATTTTCCAACGAAGTTGGGTGCGCTATTGCAGCCACTTTCTCTGTCTGTCCGTCTGTCCGAGGCCTTAACTACTCCTACAGCTTTCAAGATATTTAGTTCGTTCTTTTTGCAAGGAAAATCTTGACGATTGAACTGCGCAATGTTAACTTTTTTATTTATTAATATATTTTGTTGAAATTTTAATCACAGATACTTGTAGAAAAGGCAAATATATCGCATATAATAAAAATCAGATGTGCGCATGCGCAGGCTGCCCAATGCCAACTTTCTTATTTATGGAGATATTTCTTTGAAATTTTAACCAAAGATGCTTATATTAATAGTAAAAGCAAACGTATTGCATATTGTAAATATCAAATTAATAAGCGCATGTGCAGGACGCGCAATATCAACTGCGCAGTAAGTGTCAACTTCCTTATTTATGAAGATGTTTCTTTAAAATGTTAAGCATATATGCCTCTAGTAATAAAAAACATAGCGCACATAGGTATGTCCTTTGGGGAATTGTTCTCAAATCTTGGCCTTGCGCTTAGTTATTTCACTGACAGTTCTCGATCTCAATCCCTCAAACTGCATCAACGAAGCAGTAACGTGTATTCCGCTGCTGGAAAAGGTGTTGATGTAGTACAATTTGTACAAGAGTGGACACGGTAGCCCAGTGGTATGCGAGCTATTCAGTGCCGAGTATCGGGTATTGTTTGGTTGCCGGTGGAACACAATTCGAGCACCTATTGTAATCTTATACGTTATATCTGATTTGAATAAAATTGTTCATTTACTGTGGCAGATGATTCGCAAGGAAGCAAGCGAGGAAGCTATTACCGAAACAATAATTGATGCAATGTAAATTTCCCTCGAAATTGCCTTACATTGTCGTATGACCCAAAAAAAAAACACCGTGTAATTAATATTCTACACTTCTGTAGAAATATTATATTAGTTCATCAAAACATTTTTATGGCCCTCTGGATCTGGACCCGGGGTACATGAAAAGTGCATTAAAAAACTGTTAACCCTCGATTTTGTCATAAGGATCGCATAACAAATTTGTAAACGAAAGCGTTTGCAAAAGTTTTAAACCGGGATTCACGCGCGTTTTCAATAAGTGACACATCTTCTCTTCACAGGTGGTCTGCATCATGGAACTCTTTCCTACAGATGAATTTTTCTCGACATTTCTTAAAAATGTAGAAGAAGCCGTTGGGGTTGAAATCCCTATCCAGCTGAAGAAACTTTTATTCGTAAATGGTTATCGAGATTGGAAAGTTTAAATACATATTCCGTTTATATTTAAAGTTTATATATCATTAACCTGTCGGTTCAACAACCTTTTTCCTATATATCTTAGAGAAATTTTGGGAGGTAATCAGAGGAAATCAGAGGGAATCGGGGTAATCCCAAAGTAATCATGGGAAATCTCGAAGTAATCACAGGAACTCCCAAGGTAATCATAGGAAATCTACAGGAAATCTGAGGAAATCAAGGCAAAAGTGGTAATCTCTGTACAAATTATGGGTTGCGAATTACCCCTCGGTATATTGGAATCATTTCATTTTTTTTGGCTTTAAGTATTACCGTTTACCTAGTGTTTCATTTTACTAGCAAGGTGGAGAAAAAATGAGGGTTTTGAAG